ACTCGAAGTAGCGAAGCACAAAAAGAAAAAAATCGATAACCTTAAAGAAAATGAGGATGGGAATGAACCAACAAACAAATGATTTTAACACTTTTTTTGGGAGATGTTGAAACTAACTGGGAATGGCTTGATGAATGAAAGAGGCGGAGAGAGCCTAAGTTTTAGAGATGATAGGAGCTACAGGGAGACGAGCTGATCTGCTCGGTAGAATGAACCCCAGAAAGTCTCTGGCCTCATAGTCAACGGCAAGCGAATAGGAGCTGGAGTTGAAATTAGGGGAATCACTTGAGGTCTGCAATGAAGCCGCTGCCGGCAGTGGGCCCCTCAGGCCCTCGTCCTCAAACCAACATGTAGGCAGATGGGTGGCATGTAGCTCTCGTCTCTAAATAAACTGACCAACGTTTGGCGCAAGCCAAGACGACTAGCCCTAAGTCACCTATGGGCAAAACATAGGAAGCTTTGCTGTGCTTACAGGGCAATAGGTAAATATTAATAAACTTATAATGTGTAAAAGCAAAAATGTCACTGATAGGAGGAGGAAAAGGAGAGTTAGAAGGTAAGAATGTTAATACACTGATAACATCAGTGTGGTCATTCATTCATTCACTCGACAAATGCTTACTGAGAACCTGCTGGGTGCAGGTGTTGTTCTAGTCACTTGGGATGCAGACAAGGAAAACATCAGACAAAGCTCCTTATCTTCATGGAGCTTACATTACATTATGCCAAGAGTAAGTGAGGCTGCTAGAGATACTGCAAAAGCTTTTGGAATAAGAAATAGAGGTTTAAATATATTATTTAAAGATATAAAGGTAAGTAATAGAAAAACTATAAATAATAACATACATTGAGAAGGGTAGAGTTGACTAAGTGCCCTGAATTTTAAGCTCTTGTATATGGGATTCATTAGATACTGTCTAGAGTGGACAAATCAAAACAGAGATAAAATCATGATATCTAGAATTAGGGAGGCAATCACCAAAACTGAAAACAGAAACAACTGAAAGAGTTTGCCTGTGGGGTGTGGCATTGAGGATGAGAGGAGAAGGATGAGAATGTTATTTTTGTGTTCATCATGTCCTATTTGCTTGTTACCTATTTGCATGTCCTATTTGTTGCTACCATGTGCATGTATTATATTGATTAATATGTATATTTTAAATTAAGTGTCTTCTAAGAACAGTTATGAGCAAAGAATGAGACTCATTTTTCATCTACCAAGTGTCATGGGATTAAACAAAATCATTACAAATGGATTTTCCTTTATCTTTTAGTAAGTGTTTAAAAATAGATACCGTTCCATTGTTTTCTCTCGGCTGTAATAAATGGTAGGGTACAAAGAATAAGTTTGCAAAGATAAGTGCTGGAAATGAAAGATAGCTTGGGTGCACTCCATTTGAACAAAATAATGCTTTCATTTCCCCATTGTTTACCTGTACTTAACCAACAGTATTTGGGAAAATGGAGCTAACATTTACCAAATGCTTATTTTGTATAAAGCATTTTGCATATGATAAATCACTTAACACACTCAACAACCTGATAGTATTGACATTAATTTTCACATCTGATAGTTGAGGAAATTGAAGATTAGACAAATAGCGAAGCTTGCTAATGGCAATCCAATGTCAATATTTTCTATGATGTAAATTTCTGTAAGTGGCCAGTTTTTCTAGGTACCCATTGATAATAAAAGTATGTATCTATTAGTTTCCTAACGTTTGGACAAAAAAAGTTTTATTTTCACCCTCAAGCAATAATATCTTTCCTATTCCCTATGCTGTATTTGAAAATATTCTTCAATGGTAGTTTGTCCTTGGACAAGTCTTTTGGTCCATTTTATGATCAACTTTGCACACATGATTTCTTGTGTTGCTATTATCTGCTGAAATGAGGCAATGGTCCTCTCTTGAGCCTACTGTTATCAAAAAGAGACATACTCCAGTAGCAAGTTAGATGCACATAAATTTGGGGGAAATAGTAGTAATAATAATAATACAAAAATAAGCTAGCTCCTGTTTTGTGTACGTATTAGGTGCCAGATGCTTTGCATGCGTTACCTCTCTTAGTTCTCTCTCCAGATCCATGGGGAAGATATTGTGATAAATATTCTACAAATGGAAACTATAACCCATTGAGTTTAAGCTATGTGTTCAAACTTGTCATAAACCAAGGAACTGATAGAACTAGAACTTGAACAGTAGGTTTAGGAGTATGCTTATCATGTTTCCGAAGTTGCTTGACGTAAATAATTTTACACGTTCTGTCATGCTATCCTTGGGTGGCAAGACAGGCTGTTGAATAGTAAGATTGGATGCTGTGACTAATCTGAAGTGGATTTGCCTCTACCAATGCCACTGGAGGGAAGTCCCAAGTGGAATACATTCTCTATCTTGTTTGGTTCCATGTTGTTATTAATGGATTAGAGACATTCTTGCCATGTTGTTGCTGCTGCTCTATTATTATTGTTACTATTACTATTATTATTATTGCAGAATGTACAAAACTAGAAAGAGGAGAGGGAAAGTGAGAATGAGAATCTTAAAAAAAATTATAACAGGTTACAGCAAGGATCTGATTCTCTAACAAGAAGAAATTAAATAAGGATAAAATTACAATCATGCTTTTGTCTGAAAAGTTATCTATTCGAATACAGGGGAGGAAAGATGCAGCTTAGTAAGAACTCATGCAAAAATTTGGCCATCTTATTAATTTCAAGGCTTCATTACCATCTTCACAATGATAGCTCCCAAATACCTGTCTCCAGCCCAGACCTCTACATGGCTCTAGTCCTGTATGTCCAATAGCTCTGTCAATTCCTCTTCTTGGTGTTATATGTCCAAAAGGCTCCTCAAACTTAGCATGTCTAAGACTGAACTCTTAAGCCATCCCCTCAAAGCCAGGTCTTCTTCCAGTATACTGAAATCAGTAAATATGACCACCATCTGTTCTGTTAGTAAATTTAGGCATCATTGTTGATATCTCGTTTTCCCTCATCCTCTCTTCCCCATCTTTAATTGCTCTACAGATCCTGTCCATTTTAACTCCTAGAATCTCAGAATTTGTCACTCTTTCATCTCCACCACTACCTTATTTTCCATGGGACCATCATTTCTTACCTGTACTAATGCTGTGGTCCATCTGGTCTCAATGTTTCAACTCTAGCCCTCTTCACCCCATTTAATATGCATGAGTGATAGTTTCATAACACAAATGGGATTGGGTCATACATACATCTACCCCAAGATTAAGTTCCTCTAATGCATTTTTTTCTCTACAGTACAGACAGAAATCATGCCCCTGTGTACCTTCTCGACCTCATCTCAGCAATCTCCTCCTTGCTCTCTGTACTCCAGTCATAGTGGTTTTCTTTCAGTTCCTTGATCACACTATAGAGCCTTCTGTCATAAAGCCTTTGCATAGGTCCTTCCTTCTGTCTGACATATTCTTTCCTCCTCCTCATTTGGCCAATACCTACTCATGCTTCAGGTCTCTCTGTTCTGCCATTTCCATAACTCTTGAGTTTGAGATTCTCTTGTTACATATTCTTATAGTTGCATGATCTGTTCCTGCCCTTTGGAGCTCTTATCTCAATTTATAATTCATTCATTGGTTTACATAACATATATTTATTGAATATTTATTATGTGCCAAGCTCTATTTTAAGTGCTGGGGATATAGTGATGAATAAAACAACTAAGGATCTTCATTTAGTGATGGAAGAGGTATACAATAATCAAATCAACAATAAAATATAAAGTATGTCCCTTGGTGAAAGTGCTACAGAGAAAAATACATCAGACAAAGAAGTTAGGAAGTGCCTATGTGCACACAAGTGCATGTTATTTTAAATAATCAGGGAAAAACTGACAAGGTAACATTTAAACTAGACGAGAGGATGAACCTTGCATATACCTGAAGGAAGACTGCTCCAGGTAGAGGGAAGAGTAAGGACAAAAGCTCTGAGATGGAAGTACGTTCCCCATGTCTAAAGAGCAACAGGAAGGCCCGTATGTTGGGAGCAGGTTAATAGGAATGAAAATAGCAGGAGATGATGACAGAGAGAGGGGTCAGGTGAGGTAGGACCTCAGAGGTCGATGTAAGAACTTGGCTTTCAGTCTGAGTAAGTGGGAAATAATTATGCAATGTAAGCAAAGGATGTGATCTGACATACGTTTTTAAAGGATTGCACTGGCTACTGTGTGGGGAATAAACTGTGTGTGGATAAGGTTGAGGAAGGGTGGAAGCAGGGATATCAGTTAGGAACTTGTCTCCACTGATTCACACAAGATCTGATGGTGGGTTGGTCACGGTGGTAACAGTAGAAGTAGGGGAAATGGTCAGATTCTGGATATTTTTGAAGGAAAGCCAACCAAATATGTTGACAGATTGGATATGTGTTACATAAGAAAGAAAAAAATCATGAGTTACATGAAGGTTTATGGCAGAAGCAACCAGAAGGATGGAGTCATGATTTACTGAGATGAGCAAGTCCATGAGAGCAGCAGATTTGAGAAAGATCAGGAGTCCATCTGGACACATTAATTTTGAGATGCCTATTACATATTCAAGTGGAGTTAGAGAGTAAGTAGGTAGTCGGATTTATGAATCTAAAGGGTGGGAGAGAAGTCTGGGTGACCAACCATCATGGTTTGCCTGGGACTGAGGAGGTTCATGGAATACAGAACTTCTGGTTCTAAAGCCAGGGCATCCTGGGCAAGTCTCAGGCAAACTGGGGTTTTTATGGGTCTGGGGTATAGATTTGAATGTGTGAGTCTTTGGCATATAGATGATTCCACTTACATGAAGTATCTAAAATAGTCAAATTTATAGAATCACACATTGAAATGGTGATTGCCAGGGGTTGGCAAGAGGAGAAATGGGGAGTTGCTAATCAACAGGCATAAAATGTCAGTTAAGCAAGATGAATAAGCTCTAGAGATCTGCTGTACAACATTGTTCCTATAATCAACAATACTACATTTTACACTTACAATTTTGTTTAGAGATGGATCTCACTTTTAGTGTTCTTACCACAGGGCGCCTGGGTGGCTCAGATGGTTAAGCGTCTGCCTTTGGCTCAGGTCATGATCCCAGGGTCCTGGGATCAAGTCCCACATCGGGCTCCCCGCTCAGCGGGGAGCCGCTCTGACCCTTGCCCCTCTCATGCTGTTTCTCTCTCGCTCTCTAAAAAATAAATAAAAAAATCTTAGTGTTCTTACCACAATAATTAATTAATTAATTAATTAATTAATTAATTAAAAGGAAGTTTAAACTAATCTTCTCCTTAACATCTTTCCAAGTTCCTACTTCAGCTAATTTTACCACCACCTACCCAGGAACTAAAACCCCAAATCTGGCATTCGTCTTCCATTACTTCTACCTCGCCCTCACTCTACGCATTTAATTAGTTGGCTAATCTTAATTTCTCAAATATACCTCCTCTACCCCATTACTATTGCCATTTCTTCAGTTCAGGTTCCCGCCATCACTCACTTGAACTAATATAGTAACTTTATCACTAGAAATCCTGCCTCGACTCTCCACCCCCTGTAAGCTTGTCTCCACACTGCTGCTGATGGCCTTTCTAAAGTTTAAATCTAGTTATTCACTTCCTGGATTAATACCTTTCGAAAGACATCTTATTACCTTCTGAATAAAATTAAAACCTCTTCGGGCATATAAAATCCTTCATAATTTAGCCCCTCCCCCTTCTCTGGCTTCAGCTCCTTACACCCTCATCCACCAGTAACAAACCATTAGCAGATACCCAGATTTGCCAGCCCCCTTCATACCTCCCTGGGTTTGTCCTGTTGTTACATTTGCCATTATGTTATGCTCTGTGGCAAAGTCCTGTTCCTCCATCTTGACTCAACTAAAAATCATGGCTCTCATTCGTGAATGTTTTCTTGATCTGCCTGTTGGTAGAATGAGCCCTTTTAAATCCATGCTGACTGCTTTTAAAGCACTTGTTACAGTGTGGTACAATGACTAGTTCTCATGTCTATTCCCTCCTAGACTGAGAGTATCTGAGGGCAGGATCTATGTCTTATTATCTTTGTGTCTCATGTACCTAACAGAGCACCTAACCCCATTGCAGGGACTCAGTGAATGGTGGCAAAGTGAATGAAACTTATTTGTATTTCCTAATTTCTTCTCAACAGAATTTCTTTTTTCTTTTTTTAAAGATTTTATTTATTTGACAGAGAGAGAAAGAGAAAGAGAGAGAGAGAGAGAGGGAACACAAGCGGGGGGGGTGGTGGGAGAGGAAGAAGAAGTCTTCCCGCTGAGCAGGGAGCCTGATGCGGGGCTCGATCCCAGGACCCTGAGATCATGACCTGAGCCAAAGGCAGATGCCTAATTGACTGAGCCACTCAGGTGCCCCGTCATCAGAATTTCTTAAACAGAAAATAGGGGAGAGAATTATAGAAAGATTCATTTTTGTCCTCACGTAGCATGTGATATGAGGGTTTAGTAGACTGCAGAATGCGAAAGGTGAAGAGAGATGGTATGTGGTATGCTTTTGGCAAGTAAAAATATTTGTGAGGCTCAAGATTAAAAGGATGTGGAGAGCTTAGTCTGCCTTTGTTTTTGCCTTGCTCTTTCAACAGGAAGTATGTAAGTTACCAAATGCCCAAGATGAGAAGTTAGCAAATTACAGGGAAGGAAAGAAGAGGCAATGAAACATGGTTCAAAATCCTCATGTGCACCCTGCTTCTAGCATGTTCTATCAGGACCCCTCCTTTCCTCATCAGATAGTTGGAGTGGACTGAGTCATGTGAAGATTACAGAACTAGTTCTGTGGCCACTGCACACAAATCTCTATGCTTTCTTCCTTAAAGTCCGTGCAGCTAAAGAAAAGTGCTTACTCTTTCTGTCTTACTATTCACATTGGAATGAACTCAAAATAATTTTCAGGCAACAGCTGTTAATAATTACAGAGAAAGCATTTTATGGCTACACAGCCAGAGCCCTTTTTGTGTCTGAGACAGTGACGCATTAGTTAACAGCTTCTTTCCCTACTTTATCTGTTTTAATTTTCTTACCTTCAATTGCATTTCTTTCTACGCCAGAAACCACACCTATCACCTGTCCTTTTCTTGTGAGCTAAAGGCTCCACCAAGTCCAATTCAGACTCTGATCTTTGGTCTCTGAGCTGTTGACTAGTCTGTCATTAGCTGTCCAGGACTTAGCAGGTCAGTCTGAAATTCAAAGATAGATAGTTGTCTATAAAATCATCTATTGTCCACTTCCAGATTCTCTGGGGTGTCTTGAGAATAAGTTATCTGGGTCTATGTCATTCAATATACTCAAATTCTGATTGTGGTGGTCTGCCCGGTATTCTTGTTAGAAGGAATAAAGAGAACAAATATTTAGTTGCCTCCTTTGTGTCAGGCAATATGTTAAGCATGTCCATATATACTGACTTATTTAAACTTCATAAAAAAAGGCATTATGATCAGATATTATAGATACAGAAAACAGTATGGATGCAGAAACACAACTAGACAGAAATACAACTAAGGGTTATGAACCTGACCTGGTTTCTGTCAAAACCCATGCCTCTTACAACATATGTATCAAGCTGTAAGTTTATGGTGATTTGCCAGGAGGGAAGAAGAATCTGGAGATATGACTACTTCATCCCACCCCTTGTCCCTGTCTTAATTCTCAACCTTCAGTTTGTGGCCCACGACCAGAAAATGGCATTTCTACTGACACTTTGGCCTTTGATAACCTCTGCCAGCTCTTTTACTCTTTGGTTGCTTCGGCCTTTAACTCCTGGAAGAGAAGAATATTCAATAGTGTCGTAGTATCAGAAATTAGAACTTAGATTTGCTCTAGGCTCTGCTTCTTCAAGGAACTCGGATAAGTTCCCAGTCTCTTTGGGACTCAGTTTCCTTATATGTAGAATGAGTAGATTGAATGAGGTTGTTTAAGGCTGCTGCATGCTCTGATAATAATTTTTAACCCTAATTGAGAGTTCATGAAATTTTCATATTAGGATATAGGAATTATTTAAGCTTTCATTCAAGGAAATTAAAATTCCAAACTTTCATTGAGGAAATTGAGGCTCCAGAAGTTTAAGTAACTTGTCCAAAGTCCCAGAACTAACAGGTGGTTGATTTTAGATTTGAACCCAGACAGTTACTAGAGTACACAGTCAAATCTTAACACAGCACCCAAATTCTTCGTGAACATGGCCAGTCTTCCTCTCTAAACTTAATTCTCCTGCTCCAATTTTGTATTCTAGTAGCTGAAGTATTTGTAGCATCTCCTAGCAAATCATGGGCAGGTGTACACAGAGTTTTAATTGTGTTTCAGCAATTTGGGCCTTTGTTTACGTTCCTAAGTTCCTTCTGTGGTTTCCCTTCCTTTTTACCACCCTGGCTAGTTCCTATTTGTTCCTCACAGTTTAGTTCATGTGTCTTCTCTTCCAAAAAGTGTTTCAAATTTCCCAGCTGTGGTAAATGGCCCTCTCCCTTGCTCCCATAGCACATTGTGCATAATTTCATCTTCAAATTTACGGCATTTTCTTAAGTGTAATGTGTTTTATTCTGTCTTCTCTATTAAATCAGTCTGTTGGCAAGAATGCACCTTGTTCTATTCATCTTTGTGTCCCAGATTCTATCATGTGCTCAATAAATATTATTTGAGCCAAACTGAATGGAATGATGCCACACACGGGGCTTTACCCTTGTATTTCTCAAGATATTTTCTGAGTATGATTATATTCACATCGTCATTTCACAAATAGGGAAACGCAGGCTATATAACCGAGGATAGAACCTCAAAATTCCGCCCATGATCAGGCTTTTGGGAAGAGTTATCTATGCACATTTTCCTAATGCCTCACTCAGTTTTAACAGCTAAGTTCTCTTCAGTCCACCATGCCACTCAAGCTGTTCTGGCTTAGATCTCAATGGTGGCCATATTGCAAAATCCAACATATGCCTCCAGTCCTCCCCTTACTTGCATTCCCTGTGTGATCACTTCCACCATTTGAAATTCTCTCTTTCCTTAGCTTCTGTAATATACCACAGAGTGAAATACACACTCTAGTGTTCTTTCCACCCCACCTGGCCCACCCTCTCATTCCCCTTTGCTAGTGCCTCCTCCTCTACTTAGCTGTTGGAGTTCTTCAAAAATCAGTCTTGGACCCTTGTTTCTTTCTTACCCTATATTCTTTTCATGTGATGTCTCATCCACTCCCACCACTTATACAAAAAACCCCTGTGTATACACCAGCAACTTGGAGATTGATTTCTCCAACTCAGATCTCCCTTCTGAGCTACAAAATCATACATACATTTATTTGCTGTCCCCTCCTGGTTGCCTCTCATGCATCTTGATTTAAACATATCTAAATCCAAATTCATTTTCTTGTCCCTCAAACCTACTCTTTATCCAGTATTCTCAATCTCTCATCCTCCATCTTCCCAAGTGTTCATGACAGGAATGTTGATATTATCCTTGACTATTGTTTTTTTGGTAAGCATCTGTCGATGCCCCCTTGTAGATAAATCTTGAATCTGTCCGTTTCTCCAGGCTTGAATCTGCCACTCTTCTGGCTCAACTGCCACTATCTCTTGGCTGAACTACAGCAATAGCCTCCCAACTGGGCCTTTACTCTCTCCTGCTCCTGCTGTCATCTTGTTTTGCTCATTTCCTTCAATCCTTCCTACTTATAGATCAGTAGAGTACTCTTTTAGAAATGAAGTTTTGTATGTAATACATGTAATATCCCTTCACTTTAAAATGTTCCCCATGGGGCGCCTGGGTGGCTCAGTTGGTTAAGCGACTGCCTTCGGCTCAGGTCATGATCCCAGGGTCCTGGGATCGAGTCCCACATCGGGCTCCCGGCTCAGCAGGAAGCCTGCTTCTCCCTCTCCCACTCCCCCTGCTTGTGTTCCTGCTCTCGCTGTCTCTGTCTCTGTCAAATAAATAAATAAAATCTTAAAAAAAAAATGTTAAAATATTCCCCATTTCTCTTAGGATAAAACAGAAAATCTTAACATGGCTTTTAAAGGCCCTGTATGATCAGCTCTCACTTTTCCATCTCTCCCAACTCTTCCCATTTGGACCCTAAACACAATCATAACTATATCCTTATTTGTTTGCTCCTTTTTCATTTTTCCTTGAAAAATCTCTCTCCCCCGCTAAAATGTAAATTCTATGAGACCAGTGTCCAAGTCTGTCCTGTTGATCCCTGAATCATAGTAACCTAGGACAATACCTGGTGTGCAAAGATACTCAATAAATATTTGTTGAATAAGTGAATAAATCGGTTAACTAATAACAACTTCTTTTGGTCCATAAAAATAGCTCATCCCTCAGGGCTCTCCCTCTGGGCAATTCTCCCAAGTCAAGCATTCTTAAGAATCCTTATTTTAAGAATTAGACTCAGCCATATTATATTCCATATTATTCATTTTCTTTCTATCATTTATTTATTAGTGTATAAAATTCAACTATATGACAACACAAAGCTAATAGAAGTAAAAATACAGTAAGGTACAGTGAGAAAAGAGACCCAAAGGGGTATAGGAAACTATTCCTTAATGTTTTAGAACAAATATTTACTAGCTTGAGTATCAGTGTGCTGGGATGTCTTTCTGAGATTTGAAAGATGACTGCCCTCTCTACTGCTGGGAAGGAGGTAAGTCTGCCCAACTTCTGCTGTGTGTCATGACATTTGGACTACGATGCTTTTTCAGTCTGCATACGCCCTTTGGCACTGGTGAGTCTGCTGAATGTTAGTCCACTTTTATTGTGATGATTCTAAGAAACTAGTCCAACCCTTTTAGGAAAGCATTGTCATTTTGGTTATTGTCTTCAGCTTGGCTATCTTGGCTGTCTCTTACAGAGTTTTTGTCAAGCCAGTTGTTTCCTCATGCCAGAAGCAGTGTAAGTTTATAGAACTCGGCTCAAGAAAAAGTGAAAGATAACCAATGTTGGTAGTGGACTAAGTTCCCTATCGGTCATCACTCAGCTAACTGCCACTGAGCTTTCTTCATTAGGTAATCCTAAACAGGAGATGGCATGAATGTGTCACATAACTGTGACTCAGCATTTTCAGTGAGCGCTCGCCCCTGCACTATTGAAAGTAAGTGAATGGCCACGGTAGTCATGATGAGTAAGAGAAAATCAAGGCATATGTATTTAACTAAAAACAATTATATGTCAAAAATGTTAGCACTGCCAGGAATTCACAGGATTTGGTTATTATTTGTATACTGTTGTTTTTTTTCTTCCCAGAGATATATACCAGTACCCTGGTGCTAAATTAGTACTGGGGAGTTAACAAATGGCAGCCGTGAAAAATATCTAGGGTTACATATTTAGCCATAATTTTATTTATTTGAATTACTACATCTTTTGCACACAGGAAATCTGCACAGTTTGCTTCTGAATATATGAAAACTTGTGATTTTAGCACAGCATTAATGTTTTATTATACTGAGAATATTAACTGAGAAGAAATTGGCTCTCCTGGGCTTCCAGAAACATTGTGGGTTTTTGTAGGTTGAACAAAATATGTAGCATTAAAGTCCTGCAAATTCCTACACTAAAATCTAAGGCGAAGTTCAAATTGCTTGTTCTTTTTTTCTTGGCAGACTGTGTGTTTCTATTCAACCACAGTGCTGATCCTCCCCAGGACTCTCCTTTAAATGCTGTTTTATTAAAATCTTTATTTAAGTCTGCTTTAAACTGTTAGAAGTTTTTCTGGGAGGAAAATTAAGAGACCTTCACATGATAACTTTTTTTTTTTTTAAGATTTTATTTATTTATTTGAGAGAGAGAGAAAGAGAGACAGAGCGCATGAGAGGGAGGAGGGCCAGAGGGAGAAGCGGACTCCCTGCCGAGCAGGGAGCCCGATGCGGGACTCGATCCTGGGACTCCAGGATCATGACCTGAGCTGAAGGCAGTCGCTTAACCAACTGAGCCACCCAGGCGCCCTCACATGATAACTTTTAAAAAACATTTTCTAGGGGCACCTGAGTGGCTCAGTTAAGCGTCTGCCTTCAGCTCAGGGCATGATCCCAGGGTCCTGGAATCAGGCTCCCTTTTCAGTGGGGAATCTGCTTCTCCCTCTTCCTCTCCCTCTGCTTGCCCCTGCCTCCCACTTGTGCTCTCTCTTTCAAATAAAACAATTTTTTTTTAATTTAAAAACATTTTCTAGAATCACCAGTTAATATTAGTTAATCCAGAAAAAGCCATGATAACTAAAATATTCAGTGACTGAGATAGTCTATTTCATTATTATGTCTTCTAGATAAACTTCTAAGTATTGTAGCTCTCTGAGCTTAAGCCCGCTTTATTGAAATCTTGGTAAAATAAACATTTGCCCTTTCCTATGGTGCGTGGGTAGTTCAGAGCTGACACAGCGGACTTAATTTCGTGGCCGAACTCCTGAAATCAGTCCTGCCTAACAGACACTTCTGACCCAGGCTGTATGGTGGTGAGCATGTGTGTGATGCAGGCCTCGGGTGACACATCCTCAGGCTGCGCTCTCTGGTAGCTCAGGCTGACGTTAGAACTCCAGGTGCGCTAACCCACACTTGCGGAAAGGAGAAACCATGGTGCCGCTTGTTTTTTGTTTTGTTTTTGTTTTTGTTTTTTCACATTTCCCAGGGACGATTTTGGCAACATCTCCTCCAGTGGGGAAAGCGCTGCTCGCAAGGTTGGCCCTTGCCACAAATCTTCTTTCCTTCTTTCCTTCTGGGGCGCTTATGCCAAAAAGGCTCAGGATAAAAGACACTTTCAGTACTTAGTGTGTTTTTGTCGCTTTGGTCAAGGAATGGAAACGTAGACGAGAGAAACCGCTAAGTGAGACGGTAAGTGCTCTAAGTGCTGAGTGTGCTTGCGGGTGGCGGGAAGGGCCCCGAGGGGCGGAGAAGAGAGGGTGGCTGACCCGAGAGAGGAGGCAGGGAGAGCTCCAGAGGAGGAGTTCTTCAAGGTTGAGGAAAAGGAGGAGAAATGGTACAGGGACAGAGCACTGGGAGAGAAAAGGAATAGCTGCCAAGCTTTACCTGATACTCTTGGGTCTCCTTGAGAAGACATGCTCTGTGAGGATCCGGCATCAGAAATGAGGGAGAGGGCTCAGGAGAGAGGGCAAGGACCAGCTGGAGCTCAAAGGCTGAGTGCTGATGAGGAAGGAGGGTTACAGGACAACCAGGAAGGATATGAATGGCCTTGCAGTGGTTACCAGGACACTAGGACTTAGTAAAAATGGTTCAGAAGCAGGAGGCGACCCATATTCCACACTTCAGAAAAAGATTAGAAAATGACCAAAACAGAGTATGTACAAAAGTAAATATAATGCAAAGGGAAATCCCAACAAATTATGATAATTTATGTTTGCTATTACCCAAAAGCGTATGACCAAGGAAACGAATTGCCAGGGCTTGTCTTAGGGCTCGGAAAGAGCCCTTACAAGAGAAAGGCTTAAGGCTTCAGGCTTCATTAGCCTCATGGCAAATCTGTCTCTGGCCATAAGACTGTAAATGCCACTAAAGTAAACACGGCACTGGATTGTATTTCAGTTAGTGTCTGAAAGGAGATATCTGGAAGGTGATGGATGCCTTTACAATATCGGCTTCAAAATATTCAGAATGTACTCAGAACAGCTCTAACTTCTGATTTTTTATAAAATTTAAATAAGACCATGCATATGGAGGTGTTTAAAAAACTTGTAAAGTTCTTCCCCAATGTTAGGTATTTATTTTCTTACTTTCTGAAAAACCCATTATATCCCATTCATCAAATTTATCTAGGACTTCAATGAGCCTGTTTATTTTTACCCTAATAAGCTCCTTAGAATTTTGTTTTATAATTACTATGAAGTATTACCTCTCATTTTTCCTAAAATGTTGTTCTCTCAGCTTCTATGATTCATATTTGAGAAAATAATATTGTTTCACTCCCCATTTCAAAATGATTTACACTTTCATCATCTCTCCAGACTAAAGTTCTAATCTTTGCTTTCATCTTCTTTTGGTAAGTCCTCCATTCCTTTGACAATTTACTGTTCTCAACTTTGTGCTTTCTCAAGACTAATCCCTGTGTTTTTTCAAGGTGTCTGGCCAGAACTGAAACAAATGTTGAATGGAAAAAGTATTATAAATCATTTGTGTGTGTGTGTGTGTGTGTGTGTGTGTGAGTGTGTTCCAGTTCTCTTGCTATATATGCCTAGCGGTTGGTTAATTGTTGGCAATAATTGGCAGATTTGTTTTCAGTTTGGTATCTCCTTTAGATTCCTTTCAACAGTAGTTAGTTGGGATCATAGGAGAAATTTGATCAGGATAATCCAAGATGCAGAGGAAATTTGGAATAGTGAACCTAGTACTAGGGAGAACTGATGAATAAAGCATATGGAAATTAAGAACTGGGACTACAATCTGAAAGAAGCATTTGAGAGACCACTGCTGGGCAAGTATGGTCACAGAACAGGGAGCACTGGTAACTGACAAGATAAGAGGTTATGATCCTGGAGGACAAGCAGGAAGTTAGGGCACCAAGTTGATATAATGGAGGCAGAGCTGTACCTTGTAATTAGGTCAAAGTTTTTCATTTGATGAGTGGCCAGTGTGGGATGGAGTAGGAGGCCAGGATGATCAAATAGAAAGAACTTGTGGGGTAGAGATTAGAGAAGTAGTTCCCAGCTCTGTCTTCATACTACAATCACCATGACACTTTTTTTTTTTTAAAGGTTATTTATTTATTTATTTGAAAGAGAGAGAGAGCGTGAGGGAGAGGGAGAAGGAGAGAGAATCCACACTGAGCGCAGAGCCTGACTCTGGGCTTGATCGTGAGATCCTGACTTGAGCCAAAACAGAGACGTCCGCTTAACGGACTGAGCCACCCAGGCGCCCCCACCTCGACACTTTTAAAACATGTCAATGCCAATTGAATAAGAATAAGCCAAATGAATTAGAATCTGAAAGTGGACCTAGGCGTTGGCTGGTTTTGAAAAATTATCAGGTGATTCCAGCATGTGTTCAGAATTGAGAACTATGGGTTGGAGCATTGGTTCTGAATTGGAGAAGTTTTTATAATCCTGCTGGTGCAGGTGGCCTTACTCCTTACCAATTAAATTAGAACATTTGGGAGTGAGATCCAGGCATCAGCAGTTTTTGAAATTCCCTCAGTGCTTCCAATGAGCCACCAAATTTAGGAACTGTTGGATTAGAGGGATCGTATCCTGTGATCTACTGGGCGTTACAGATAACAATGAAATTATGTTGTGTGATATGCCTTGTGTATTAAAATCATACTTGCAGGCTTGAAGTTTAAGGCACAGAACAGAATCCAGATACCGCAGTTTCTCTTTGTTCTGATGCCTCAGTACAGCCTTCTAATTTAATGGAATTAGAGTAACAAAATTTTGAAAACTAGAGGAGACCTTAGGAAAGATGCAACCCAGATCCCTCCTCTTCTACATGAGAAATAAGAGGCCCAGAAAGGATAATAAAATTGTCTGTGGTCACTTGGGTAGTTAATGTCAGAGTGGGATCCCCTGACTTAAATATTTTTCAATCTTCTTCCACGATGCCGGCTACATTAAAACACTTAGTTCTGAAATGCCAAATGCTAGAAGGGATATGATTTAATTTACAAAGTGTAGAAAGTAGATGAACAGAGTTGATGTGAACCTGTCTGTAAAACTCTAGAACACTAGAAGTAAAAGCTACCCTTGAAGCATAAAAAAAATTATTTTAAAACAAGTAAATTAGGTTTAAAAAAACCTAATCCCCAACATGGCGTTTGTAAAGTTACTGGCCATGAGAATCCTTCTAGCCATGGAGACAGTCATTGGATAGCCACTCTTTATTTAGGAAGGCTAGAATTTTGGGGGACTTTAGACCTGGAAACCCAAATACTTGTGTTTCCTAAGGTCATCTGCTCAACTGTAAAAGAAAGTTTTGCAATCAGTATCTAGACCCTCAATCATGAGGCTTTCATGTGTTTTCATATCCTCTGAGTTGGTTAGTCCAATTCCTGACCTACTCCAATTTTGGAGAAATCAGAACAAAAGTAGATCTCTTTGGGGGATAAAGTTAACTGCATCTGATTATACTCTATTTGTTAAATGTGTACACTTCCTTGTGTATTGTGGACTTAAGTTCCAGTATACAGTCTTTGCAAAAAAATATAGTGGGCATTCCCCCTCTCCCCTCAGGTGATATCTTTGGTGATATCTTTGGTTGGTGCTCTGTGTCCAGCTTTCCTGGCCCGTATCTTTGACAGTGGCTATGGTGAAAACACTGGAGCATGCTGCTCAAGCCTAAAAGTGACTTGAAGGGGGGAACGTGAATACCTTAGGTCACAGAACTGGGATTCAGAAAGGTCTCCATGGACTGAAATGAAGGGCCAAAATCTAAGCAGATACAGTTCAGCGGGGAGAGAAGACCGGACTTGCCTGTGCAAGGTACACGAGGGAAGAGTACTCTTTCCCTTACAGCACTTGAAAGCTTGCTATTGAAGAGGGTGTTTATGCTTAAGGCCCACAGACCATCATGCTCCTGAGGGGCTCTACCATGGCCCAGAAATGGCCTGTAGCCTTTATTAAATGCTCGAAATAGGAAAAAACAGATTAGACCTAAAGGTTTTAACTGGGAAAAATAAAAGGAAGCCAGAAACAGATTTTATCTCCACATGAGAAAGAAATTTCTCAGTTAAAGCTATCCAATGATGGAATGAGCTATCCTGAGAAGTTTCAACTTTCCAGAACATTGGGCAAGAATATCAGAGAGGGGATTTAAGCAACAGATGGATAGTTGAAATATGTTATTATGATTCTTCAAAACAAACAACTGCGTACATGGAGAGAATGCCTGGATACAACTCACCTGAAAGCTAGTGAGGTCAGGGGACCTGGGAGCTGGTGGGGTCAGGGGACCTGGGAGCTGGTGGGGTCAGGAGACCTGGGAGCACTGAGGCACTGGACCGCACGGGCTATGGTGGGAATTGTGACTAATGGGGCTGCCTTCTCTAGGCAGATCCTGAGTCACAGATTGTTCCCCCCAAAAGGTACTCTGATGGGTTTTTTTTTGCCTTTGAGGGAGGACTAGTGGGAGGACATACTCTACAATGAGTTCACTTAGGGTGTCTGATAGACAAGATACCCACAAACTGTTACTTTGGGGGAGTAGATAGAGAAATAAAGTATGAGGGTGTAGTAGTTCTGAGCATGGACTGTGAAGTTAGGCTGACTGAATTTCACTTCTGCCTCTGTATTTACTAGCTGTGTATGACTTTGGAGAAGTCATATAGCCACTCTGTGCTTCCTTTCCTCACGTCTAAAATGAAAATAACAGTCATACCTCCATGTAGGTTGGAGAATCAAATAAACACAAAAGTCATGTAAATAATTAAAAATGGTAATCAAAAATGTTAGCTATATTATTGTTGTTGTTTCTAGGTACTGGTTGAAGATATTTGAATTTTATTATAAACTGTCATTTATTCACTGTGTGATGTAGGGAAAATTCCTTACTTCTCTGGCTTAATGTTTCCTACCTATAAAATAGTGACTACTTTTCTACTAGACAAAGACAATATCGCATTTAATATTGCCCTTAAGAACTAAAAGAGTTGAGGTGCCTGGGTGGCTCAGTCGGTGAAACATCTGCCTTTGGCTCAGGTCATGATCCCAGGGTCCCAGGATGGAGCCCTGTGTCAGGCTCCCTGCTCAGCGGGGAGTCTGCTTCTCCCTCTGCCCCTCCCCCTGCTCATGTTCTCTTTCTCTCTCTCTCTCAAATAAATAAATAAAATCTTAAAAAAAAAACTGAAAGAGTCAAAGTACCCTGAAAGGTCTTACTAAGGTAGCAGAGTA